GGAATAGGACAAGCGCGCCATCTGTGCAGTCTTCCATCAGTCCTCTGTCTCAGGAAAAACAGCGCAACCTCCTCCTCCTGCTCCTCCTCCTCCTCCAGTTCTTGTCCCCCCTCTCTCGTTCTTCAGATATCTTCCTTCCCAGTGTTCCTCCGTCTGTCATGGCGGCTGTCTGAACAAACAAACACACAAGGGTCCATGGCGAGCCAGACGGCGTGATGTGGGATTGTTTGCTTTGGCTGCTCCGGTGCGAGAGAAAGTTTTCTTAAGGGGCACACTGAGGTCTGCAGCTCCACAGAGAGACCACAAAACAAATATTTACCCTCCTGCCTCCAGCGCCCAAGCCTTTTACCATCTTCCCTGGACGTAGAACAAGGGAATGGATCCACTTTGGATTTTTGAATAAAGGAAGAGATGTGGTCAACGGGTAGAGAGAGGCAAAGCTGTCAATGTCTGGATCTTTATTTCTTTTCTAGATCATCACTTGGTGCTACAGGTAATCCTGCATTCGACTTAAAGGACCTTGCCATCACACACATGACTCCTTGATTCTGAAACAGAATAAAACAACAGGGCTGTAATAACCCCTTTCACTCAGTAATTCCTCTAAATACTTTGCCAGTCCGGCCATGCTCTTACTCTCCTACTTGCGATCTCTACTATTTCCTTTCCTTCCTGCTATAATCAGGCTGAAATCAACAGATATTACTCTCCCTCCAATGCAGCCATTACGCTCAGCCTCCATCTGAATGTAATGTGTTTCTTCTGGCGCTCCCCTGCCTGTAAATATGCACATGTTTGACTGCAGGGTCAGCGAGGAAGACAGAAATGCCTACTTCCTGGAGATGGAGATGTTTGCAGCAGGAGGGCTCCACCAATCATGTGCCAGCACAGATACATTCTCCGATGCACGTTGTCACACATCAGAGATGAACAATAAAGCGTGGAGGTGAGGCAGAAGCTGGCAAAGTAATGCTGTTGCGTCTCCAAACAATATGCTTTTTTTTTTAGTTTTATTTGAGTGAATCAATACAAAATATTGCAATGTTTCATATTAATAAGAGTCACTGAAATACTTTGGTAATGTTTAACAACATGGAGCATGTGAGGCTGAGAATAATAGCAAGATTAGCCAAAGAGCTACATCGCCCTCTTGTGTTATGAAGTGGAACAACTTTTATCATTTTTTAGACTAGCGGAAAGAAAAACCCTGTAAAAAGCCCACTTATGTCTTTAATAAAGGACACGCCCATTGGTTTCCGTATATATATATATATATATAAATTCACCAAAGATTCACCAAAAGTCATGCCTCGACTGAAAGAGCTGATAGTGGAATCATGTTGGTGTACCAAATGTACAGTATACCTTAACATGAATAAATTCCACTGCATATGCAACGTCTATTTCAGCGATCTTAAACAGAATCACACATGATTCTTTTTTCGGTGTCTTTGGTGGCTGTCAGAAAATACTGTGCTGTTTAAAGTCTGACACTGACTTCTGTTACAGTGATGGAGTTATGTGGACCAGGGACGACAATCAAACTTTCTATAGCAAATGTTTATGTTACTTACTAACTAACCAGAGGTCCATTAACAGCATATATATTGTGATGGCCCACATGGCTAGGTACAGCCAGGCGAGGACCACCTTGCAAGCAAGAGGCGTGCTAGTGGATGGGCGGTACTACCCCAGGTGTTGCTGAGTTTCCCTCCCAGGTGTTGGTGATCACACAGACAATCAGGAGCGTGTTTTAAGCCTCCACCAGAAGACACAGAGGAGGAGAGACGGCTTGAACGACAGGAGAGCGAGAACCAGAGGCGGTGACTATGGAAGAGAACTAATCTGTCAAACGATCTCTCTCTTGCCCCAGGAGAAATCCGGCGGAGCCCCATGATGCCCTTGGCCATCCCGGTGAACAGTTTTTTAAGTTACAGTCCCCCCCCACCCCCCCCTTTCCCCCTCGGGTGATCACAAATAAACTTTGGTAACGTTCACCACAACAAGGCTGGGCGCCCACAATATATATATATATATATAAATATATATATATATATATATATATATATATATATATATATATATCAATGTTGCATATACATTAGTGCTGTCAAAATGATTAAAATATTTAATCACGATTAATCTACATTATAGTTAAATCAAAATTAATCACAACTAATCGCAAACTTTTGGCTATTTTAAATGTCCCTTTATTCATTTTTATTATCAACAAGGGAAAGTGCATTGGCTTGCTCTATGCAAATGTTTTATTTTATTGAAAAACAACATTGCCAAACAGGGCAGTACAAAATTAAATTTCAAATTTCAGGGAAAGGGTTAGGGTTTTGTATGTAAATGATTTGCCTAAAAAAAAACATTTACCTGTTGATGAAAATGAATTTAATATATGATCATATGTTGGTATGCTGTCGTGCTGGTAGGAGTTTTTACTACAAGATGAATGAGGGGTGCTGGATTTCTTTTTGTCTTTTCTACATGTTTTATGAGTGACATTTGTAGGACTGTCCCTCAAACAGGATCAAGTAGCTGGGTCACAATATGTAAAGGAGAACATAACAAAAAAAAAATGCTGTTAAAATGGGTTTGCGTTAACATCATTAAAAACATGTTTAACTGACAGCACTTATATTAGTGCTGTAAATATATATATATATATATATATATATATATATATATATATATATATATATATATATATATATATATATTGTTCAAATATAATAAAGCAACATTTTTTCAAGCAATGGCAATGGTAACTGTATTTTACCACAAGGTGTCAGTTTAGTTTTACGAAGACATTCAAGTGATTGTCTTAAGCCTTTAGAATGAATACAGAGCTCTATATGCAATGTAAATTATGATGCTAATCATAAACAAAAACAAACCCCACTTGACTTTTAAAATCTTTCTCTTTATTCACATACATGGTCAATAACACCCACATGTCCATATAACAGGCCGTCAAATTGTACAGTCTTGAAAGTAAATTCATTTCATCATCATCATAATCTGTTACTGAAGTTAAATCATCCATGCTGAACATATACAGCCTACTTATCTTTAGATGTACTCACTGCGTATTATAATCCACTGTATGGTAAATCTGTCGGATTGTCTTTCCGCTCCAGTTTTGTTGTCCTTTTCCACTGTTGTTATTTGTATTGCTGCACAGGAACGTTGAGAGAGATGCAAAAAAAGGAGTTAAATTCCTTGTATATGAAGTAAATTGTTATTGTTATAAATGAACATGGTTGTACAGATGTATTCACGATAGCCATCATTTAACAAGCAATCTCTTTAGTTCATGGTTCATTAGTTCATTCAATTGTAATCAGTATTGGCACTTCTCAAGAAGTGATTATAATAACAATCTATCAACCAACAAACTGGTGTACAAATATTAAAAAGAATCACTATTATGTGTTATGGTATAAGCACAACAGACAGGCAGATTATGTTTGCACTGACATGATTCATAATGCAGAAATATTAGGTTGAAGCAGAAATAATAAGGTGAAAAGCTCATAATGGATTCAAATGTAAGTCCCTGCTGTGGGACGTCCTGCATCTTCACTGAGCTCTATGTGATGGGACAGAAATGTCTTCCAAATAACGTTTGCAATACCATTTCTTTTTTCCACTTCCCAGAGGACAGATTCACTTCTGGGTGACTCTCCAGCTTCATTTGCCTCGCAGGGATTCTGCGACTTGTTCGAGGACACATAGGCAGAGATGTGAACTGATGATGGGGGACGGTTGTGCTGTTTGCTTTGCCTCCCTGCTCTCCAGTACTATAGCATAACATATAGATAATCCCAGGAGGCATCACACCTCATGCAAGTGTACATTTTAGACGCATTTTAGCCACAGAAGTATTCCGATCGTTTATTTAAGTAGAAGTCATGAGGATATTCTCAAGCACAAGTAAAAGTCATGCATTCAAAATGTCCCTCTGAAATCATCTAACACAATATACTAAACATTGAGGGTGGGTAAGTTTAGTAAAGCTGTGTCGCTTCTTGCTGTAGTATCTTCTGCTGAGCTTCTTCCTTTTAGTCTTCTACGATTGAAGATCAAAAAATGGATCTATTCTCATCATAGGATAATTAAAGCCTTATTTTCTCTTGTCCAGAACATCAAATCTCCTTTTGAACTTTTGAACGGACTCAGTCAGCAGTTGACCTGAAGCATTAGTCATTCAATCTCTTAATCGGGCTGTTTTTTTAATTATGCGCTGGTTAACCCCAACAACCGTTAGCTTTGGTGATGGTTTGCAGCGAGGCGGGCGAGTTGGGATCATCACTGAACATAGACACATCTTTTTGCGGTATGTATTGAACCTTTTAAAGGTTTATCACACAAACATTCTTCTCTCCGTTCCTTTTGCGCCCCTTTGAACATTTGTCAGGATACAAGAAGCATGATGGTGTACGGATGCGACAACTTTTGAAGAGGTTCACAGAACGTTCTCCAAATTGAAAAAGGGCTGTTTTCAGTAACAGCTTTTAGTGTAAATTGTTCTACTGTTACTTGCCAACCTCTTTGTGATTCACACAAATAAAACAATACCAATAAGCAATCAACAAGATATTGATGGAAGAACATTTTGTGCAAACCAAGCAAGTGCCAGACAAAGGTCATTGCATTTAAAATCACACATTATCAAAATCCGTCTCTCTTAAGGGCTCTGCCTTTTTTTCATTACCACTGATAATTAAAGCCATTCCACATTTTCATCTCCTTACCTCTACTTTACATAATTACCCACAGGCCACATTCTACTTTGGACAGCTGGATACTGAAGACAAAGCTCCTTTCAAAGGATATAATGTGTACACAATGAAAATGGACTCCTCTAACCAGTATAGGGGCACATATGGACATTAATTATGCTTCTTGAGTTTTAGATGTTACTGAATAATTTTCTAAGCACTGGCTTTAAGTTCAAGACATGACTTTGGAATATATACATACAGTGGTTGAAAGAGAAGAAACTTTTTTTATTATATAAGATAATGTGTGAATATAATAAACATAATCGTTAATATACACTACATTTCCAATACATTTCACGTATTTGAGGTAATTGTTTCACCCATATTCAAAACAGAACCAACATGTTCGTGCAGATGTATTTGGTTTTTCTTTGCCCAGGTGTTGATTTGATTTAGTTTGTAAGACATACAGCAATGAAATAATACATTTAAAGCGTCTACAATCAATATTTCAATATTTTAAAATTAATTAACAGATCCTTTTTATGTGAAAAACACTCAACTTTGCACTTCCCCACATGTTACACAAGTTAACATCATTTAATATTTTAACAGCCTCAAAATTGTGTTGAAAGAAAACAGCTTTGCATTTATTTAGTTCCAAACTATTATCTTTTCCTACAAACAATGCCTTCGATGTCCAATCCAAAGAGTTTTGGGTTTTCGAAGGGACAACATCAACACTGTCATATAGGTGTCAGAGTAAGAGGCTTGTGTCCCGGCAGTGAAAGGTCAGATTTGGTGTTGTAACTCTGTTCACTTTGCTTTATTTCAAGTTTACTCTACTGTTATTACGTATTATGTTAAAGGACCGCCAAGCTATGAGTGTTACCTTGATCTATATCACTTCACAACAACTTCCTGTACTAATAGGTTCCATATGAACATGTCTTCTTTATATTATGAGATGAACGCACTCAAAGATAGATGATCCACAAAGCGAGTCTGTATTTGAGATGCTCCTAAATAATGGTGTCGTCATAGAGCTCCATCCGTATGAAGTGATGGTCAACAGAGAGTCTGCACTCACATCTTTCACCTCGGGAGGATGGAGACGCCAAGGTTCTCCATGGAGACGGGGAAAGAGACAGAGAGAGACAGACACAGAGACAGAGACAGAGAGAGACTATGTATGTTTGGGACATTGGAAATGATAATTGAGTCTACACCATGTTGTCATTTGTACTTTGGTATCCAGTCCAAAGCACAATTTAGTGTAAAATATTACACCGTCCCCTTCAGATGACAAAATATAATGCTGATGAATGAATAGACGGAGACCATCCCGAGCTGCTATTGAACAGAGGCAGGTAGCTATTCTTCTCAAAGGGCAATTCATTCATTAGTTTTTACCAAAGCACTGCAGAGGGCGGATAATGCAGCAGGGCAAGAACGTCTTGTGCGAGTTTCTAAAAGAAACTGGGAATCTAGATTTGCACCCGATTCATCTCTTTATAATTAGAGATGGCGGGTGTTGGAATTCAAACAAAAAAAGCACACTTAGTGGTAGAGATGACAACATGTGACGATCTATCAAATTTGCGATGGCAAATTGTGGCAGGGAAAAAAACTTTAGCAATACAATATTATTTTATTAAAAAAAACACATGTACATGTCGCATAGTTCTGGTTGTACGAATGGGTGGTGTGAGCGCCCGACCTCGCGGGGTCGTCCCAGGGGAGAAGCGAGGCTGACGAAAAGCAGGGTTACGGTAGAATTAAGGTTTATTATCAAATAATGCAAAGGGGAGAGGGGGGAAAAGGGTGAGAAAAGGAAAACTCAAAAGTTCTTCACCGGGGTGGTCAGGGACATCGGGGCTTCGCCAGATTCCTTCTGGTGCAGAAGAGAGAGAATATATTTAGTCAGACTCCTTTTGCTGCGCAACATCCCTGGGTCTCACTCTCCTTGCGTTCCGATTGTCCCGCTCGCTTCCTCCTTCGTGTCTCCTGGGAGGAAGGTTTAAAACAGGCTCCTGATTGCCTGCGTGATTACCGAAACCTGGGAGGGGAACCTGGGGTAGCACCGCCCTTCCACTACCATGCCTCTTGGTGGCCCTCTCCTGGCTGTTTCTCGCCACGTGGGGCCCTGCTCACCGGCTGGGCCATCACAGTGGTCGAACAGTGGTGAAATCTGGTGAAATTTTCCCTTGTCACCACATTTTCAATTTTTTTTACAACATTTCAAACCGTTTTCTTCTGCTTTCTTCCCCCCTCCTTTTTATTTTGCTAGTCATTCACTTTTTAACCTAGTTAGGCTAAATTATCCTCCTTGACGGACTTTTCGACCCTTCAGGCATCTTATAAACACAGTCGTCACTGTGAGTGAGAACAGGAAGATAAGTCATATTGTAAAAAAATGTTGTCTTACTTCTCAAGCCTTCTACCGTGATACAGTAAAAAAACAAGTCTGTCTGTGTTGTCCATCCATCCGTCCATCCATCTGCAAACCGCCTAACCACCACGCCACCATCCCGCCGTGGCTTTGTTGTAATCAAATAAAATGATACATTATACTGTTGTGTGTCTTAATTAACAATGTACGTTTTGTGTGTGTTTATGTGTGTGGGTATGCACGTACACACACACACACACACAGCCATACACTTGAGGAAAAGGACATTTACAAAGGTCTTTGTGATCATGTGGGCCTCCCCAGCATGTTTTACCTGTTTGAGATATGATCTGATGAACCTCCCGTCACATGATCTGACCTCTACTGATCTTCTCAGCTCTTTGACCATCGTCATGGTTTCACAGCTGGCAACTTTACCATTTTCTGTTCTAACTGACTAGAGACGAAGGAACCAGGTTAAAAGAACCATATACTGTATATTACTGATCGATGGACAAAGCCTCTAAATGAGAGCTAATTCTGCTTCATAGCTTGGGGTAGGAATTTGGTAAAACATATCAAGTGAAAGATTGATATTTCAATAATGTGCCTGAGTTAATAAAGATGTTTTTTCTGGTCATTGGAGGTCGTAAAATATTTTGAAATTTGGGATTACAACATTTAATTACATATATATAGTCTAAATAAGTGTTCTTTGGTAAACTTTTCCAGGCGCTGAACAAAAGCTGTTGTGAGCCTGAACAACTTGTTTTACCAGTTTGGGGATATAATCTGGCTGACCTACCAACATACATTCTGTGTTCTTTGAGCTTTTCACTTCTTTAAGCGAGATCTAAAATATGAAAAATGTAAACATTTGCCGCATCGCAAATGAGATGTCAGTGGGGAGACGGGAGTGACAATACAGTTTTTCTCTATTGAATAATAATATTGGTATAATGAAATCAAATATCATATATAGAGGAGTAGGATACATTATCTTTGGATTATTTGCATGCAGCTCATGTTATTTGCATCTGTCAGAAAGTTTTCTTTTTCTGCTGAATAGATGAGCTCTTTCACACGGATGGTTTTGGAGGTCTCAACAAAAGTCAATGGATTTAACAGAACATATTTACTCCAGACAAAAACATCAGCTCACTTCAGGTGCACATTATCCCTTTTTTCCCTCTTTGCATGTGGGCACCAAGTCTTTGGAAGGTTCTGCTGCCTTCATGGAATAGATTTGGATTGTGATTTCAGGGTAAAAGCAAGTTTAACATGATGTACGTTTGATGATATACCTTTGTGAATTCGGCTTGTTTGGGTCGGATGGCTAAGAGTTTGTGAGGTCAGGATGAGACATCTGCATGCACATGCATGCAATGTTCAGGAATAAGCCATTCAACTAACAACTAGAAATAAAGACATGTTGCATTGCCACAACACATAGAAGCAATAAAGTGAGCAGGGCAGTGTTTCATTCAACGCTCCCATAGGTAAGAATTATTGTGGTAACATAACGTTGTAGGCAACTCACTGTGACTCGTGGGTCCACCTCAGCACACCTGAAGCACTTAACGTTAAGACAAACATTCTTTAGTTAGTCCCAAAAAAAAACTAGGCCAATTGCTGTGGGCTATCTCAGACCAGTCCACAATCTTGCCAGATGTTTTAAATTTTCTCTGTGGGTGGGGTCTATAGTATGTGATTGCAGCAAGCTTGAGGGTTTACCAGGCACTGTATATAAACAGCCTCCAAAACCATGTGTGAGTGTAGACAACAGGAGAAGCTTGTGAAGACAAGACTCGTTTGTTTTGAAGGACAAAGGTAAGTTTTAGAATACCTTGCAATATCATTGACCCCCTTTTTCAACCATTTCTCGTCATGAAATTGTTTGGTTAAATTGTTAAATAAAGAAAGACGGTATACATTTTAACATGGTAAATTTCTGTGAATGTTCTTGAGTAAGTTATTTTGATATTGCAGTTTAATTTATAACAACTTTCCTTTCAGTATTAAAAGTCCATTACCTGCAATCATGAATAAATTGGTAATGTATACTTTTTAATATTTTTTAATGTGGATTTACACATTCTTTATGCATTTGCCATATTCTATGAATGTAACCCTTTTATTTTCTTTAATAGTTCAGCGTTGCCATTTTAGCCGGATTGTTCTGTGGTAGGTTCATCATCTATTTATCTACAATGGTCAAGATCAAATGTCCAAATTTTGACTACAAAATAATCAGAAAATGCAGTCACAGTAAAGTCTATTTTTCCCGAATGATCTTTAACAGCAAGCAGCCAGCGAGTGGCTCTTGATACCATCATTCCAGTGGACAAAGAATGTAAGTGATTCTTTTTAGTGGCAATCCTGATTCATAAAGTACAGAACAACCACTCAGTTCATTTATTGTCTGTTTTTTTTTTTTTTACCTTATTTAGCTTGGCCCTGCTATGATCCCACCCATATTTAAAAGCAGATTCCATATTTTTGTTTTTAAAATCTGTTTGGTGGTCAAGATAAAATGTTCACATTTTGACCACCCTATATTTAAAAAAACAGTCAAAGTAAAACAAAAGGTACTTTTGAGCACATTCATGTGCAGTATCAACCTGCTAGTGAAAAGATTATTTCCCCTGATTTTCATTGTTTGTGTAAATAAGCATTTAAGTTGATGTTCCTCAGCAGTCATCATCTCTCTTTTATTGCAGTTTGCTGGACTTCATGGTACGACCGAGACGATCCCAGTGGAACCGGGGACTGGGAGCTCTTGGTTGACCTGTGGACGGAATATCCTGGACAAATCTGTAACCAGCCTGTGGCCATTGAGGCTGTTACCACGAGCTCAGGCATCCCAGCATCCCTCGCAGGGAATATCTACACGTAAGTTGCTTGATAAGAAATATGCGATCCACCATAAAAATACCAAATTAATACTTTTTATTATTTTATTGTCTACCTTACTTTAAATGTTGTATTGATTCACCTAATGCTTGGAACTATTTTACAGCTCCATTCCAGGTTATGGATTTGTTTGCGTCAATAACCAGCAGAAATCTGGGTCGTGCCTCGACTACAAAGTTCGGTTTTTGTGCCCATGCAGAGGAGCCTGATTCCACCGCAAACGCTGCAATGGATGACAAGAGACAACGTTCAAATTTTGATTACTTGAATTTATGTCCGATTTTTCTTTCATGTTGTTTCTTCTCTCTTGTTGTGCCTGGTGGAGGAGGCATAGTAGGTCTTTTTTTGCAGGGAGCAATTTAACTTGACCTGAATAATGTGAAGGTAAATGTAGCTTAGCCATTGCTAATTTTATTATCCAAGCTTCTGCTCCCACTATGTCACAACATCTTGTGGCATGAGGCCCATTATATGCTTTGTCAGTCTATGTATTATCTTTTCTTTTTGTGATTATTAAATAATTATCTTGTATTGTCAGAAATCAATCAACAGCAAGAATCAATAAAACTGCAATATACATCAAAACCATTTTGTCCCTACGTTTTACTCAACAACCGTGTCCATCTTATTAGAAATTACATTACATTACATCATCAACATTAATAATGTAATGTAATCTTCCGCTCCCACCATGTCACAATGTCTTGTGGCATGAGGCCCATTATGTGTTTTTTCAGTCTGTGTATTATCTATTCTCTTTGTGATTATTTTCATTATCATGTATTGTCTGAAATCAATCAACAAAAAAAATCAATAAAACTGCCAATATACAGCAAACGCATTTCGTCGTTACGTTTTATTCAACAACCGTGTCCTGGATCTTTGTTTCTTTTATTGCGGATATTGCAGTAATTTATCTGACATGAACCAAATTAAAGTTCAAGATTTGAAAATGTTAATAAAATCAAATAATGTGTATGATGATGACAGCAGTGCAAAATGCTGCTGCAGAAGTTTGTATGGATATTCTGAATTGAGCCTATGTAACGTCATCTTTTATTAGGAGACTTGTTCGTCCTTGTCAGGAATTACAATGCTATAGTTTCATTTAACATTATTATGTATATACAATTGGAAGAAGAGCCAATTTGAAGGCCTGCATAAAATCATTAAGAATTTTTTATCCCTTGAAGTTTGTATTTGAGTCCTGCTTCAGTTACCCCGTTGTGACAAAAATGTTGCTTTTCCAGTTGAATTACATAAACAATTTAAATGGCACACTTTGGGGCTATCGTCACGACAATCTAGTGAAATACAATGTTTTAAAGGGAACATAATCCCTCATTCAGGACGCTGCAATCATGATGGTATAATCATGCTACTGACCTTACTGTATTTCAATTACATTTCTTTTGCAGGTAGACGGAAGTCCCAGATGGCTGTCAACAGTGTGCAGCTTCAGAAGAGACTTGCCACCCCTCTTGGAGGGGAGGATTTGCGAGCATCCGTCTGCACTAACTGGAAGTGACAATTTTCCTAGAGGCCCTCATTAAGGTGACTAAAGACTGCATTCCCACTGACGTCCCTGGGATCTCATTGATAGCACTTCTTAAGACATGTAGGCCAGTGCTGTCTCCGGCGTTGTTCAAAGGCATTTGAAGCAAAACCTCCAAGAGGGAAATGCATTCAACTCAATACTGCCGTGATTAAAAGGTTTTCTGGAGTCAACCGTGTTAGAATAAACTTGCAGCAGAATGATGCAATAGTGATGAGCCTTCAGTTTAGGCCGACGGAATTAAACCAACGTCTTCTCTTTTCAGGGTTTTACCATGGAACGTGCATCAGCTTCTTGTTTTCCACTCCGTGCCATGCATCCATCTTTCCACAACCAGGGCGGGAGAATGAGAGACTGCTTTTAGCTGTGATTATTTGTCCTTTGCAGAGAGTACCATTCTCCCATTACCCAATTAACTGCCGTGGCTTCCAAGGAGATCTTGAAAAGACGGTTGTCCGGCAGACTCCAGCTTGTGCCCTGTCACGGCCTAATGGACTGTCTAGGTGAATGGCCGTAACACAGGAGAGCTCTGGACTCTCTGTGGTCAAGACAGCCAACCATAACATAATGTTCTTTTATTGAACGGTTTCCAGTTTAATAAACAAATGACATCAGGATCTCCAAGGCCAAATCAATAAACCCTGTTCCCTGTAACCCTGTTCGAGGATGTGAAACGTGAATAAACTTGGCTTTCAATTGCAGGCGAACAGGAACAGATGGTAGCAATCAACGCACTGGCGGAGATGACTTAAACAATTTTGCGTGTCCCATGATAACAATTGGAAAACCACTAGAAGTCAGGCCAGTGCGGTTTTCAAAGGCCGTTGGTTCTCGTCTCGACCCTAACAACTCACCATGAATGGCTCCGTGGTACGATGTGATTTCGTAGGCCTCGCTGTCCTCCACGGAGGATTTTGGCAACCAGAGCACGGAGCGAGTGGCGTCCCACCACACCTCGCGTCCCTTTCTGCCTCCTTTCTGGATTTGGCTGCATAAAACCGGCTGTTCTTTACCTGCAGGTCGGGGGACGCCTGGGTTAAAAGAAGGCTGCATACCCGTGCACTCAATACCCGCCTTTGACACAATGTCCAGGCTGTGACGTTTTAGCCATGCTAGCGGCTCCAGGGGTCAGCAGCCTTTAGTGGAGGGAAGGACAAATTATTCTTCTCCAATGACAGACCACTGAATCAGCGTGTTGGTTACACTTGACTATCAGAAGTCACGTGATCCACTGTGAATATAAAAAATATGTATTACAATGTTGATTAGAAAGCAATCATACAGACTTTAGCAAATATTTCTTAATTCTTATTTAGACTAGTACGCAATTTAGCGTTGTATGTGTTATTATATTGTACATCCATGTTTTAGGATTTCAATGTAGGAAAAAAACAAAGTGATGAGTTGTAAGCAAAGTACATTCTGTCGGATTTCAAATTTGCTTGTAAAACCTCCCCCCGCAATATTTATTGAGGTATGGATCACATCCAGGCCAGATAACGGCACGAGGCTTTGGGACATCTCATTCGCATTGGGAACGGTCTGGAAGCTGCTTTACTGGATGGATTCATATGTTGCCTGCGCTCCTTTCTTGTGATTGAATGTCTCTGCATGTGTCGAGTTGACTCTGTGGGGATCTGTCAGGGGACACATAAGGCAGCTTTGAATTAGGCATGAAATAGAAGGAGGACGTGTGTGTGTGTGTGTGTGTTAGTCCCGGTGACTCTGAAAGACGGAATATAAAAGATGATCGGGGCGAGATCTCAGGATCAGGGCAGAGCTGGACGTTTCCTTAAGATAACGTAGAGAGTGGACAGGAGGCGAACCATACCTATCTTCTAAACAGTTTCTCTTTATAATGGCACTGCAGCGGCTGATAATATCCAATCTTTTTCATCTGTGCGGGTTACGGCTTTACCTAAGAGGTTATCTACAGCTGTAAACGCCACAAATCCATAAACTGAGCTGTTGTGAGAGACACAAAAGTAGTTCCTTTTAATGTTGAAAACAGCACGTAGCCCAATTGGGGATAGATGCTGACCTCATGAGCCGGTGCACATGAGGCCCTTCACATATTTAGATATCTATGGTGGCAGACAACGAGCACAAGTTTTAGACATGTAGCAAAGTATCATTAATTATCAAGATCTGGAACAATCTGTTCAATACCTGTTGCCAAATACTTTCAGTATCCAATAAATGTCCACGTTCACAATCACATTTGCAAAAACATTTACAGTTTGTTTTTGCCTGTACGCGGGGGACAGTTCTAGATCTATATTTTGTCTTAAATCGGTTTCTTTCAATATATTTTTATGTTTGCTCAAATCAAAAAGCACAGTATTTACCTTACTGTTCCGGTTCCAGACGGAGCACCGCCAGCCAAGAAAGGTGTTTGCTACAAACCCAGCTGTGTACATTGTCCATTTTAAATCCGTAAACAAAAACCCGAGATGTCCACTGAGGCAAATATGATAATTGTTTGTGGATTATGCCGATCTGGCTGGCAAATCGACCGAGGCTGTGAGTAAACGGAGAGATAGCTCAGCTCAAACAAGCGCAGTTACTCAGCCAATGGTGCAGTGTTGGCTCGTGGCACACACTGCTGTGATCCACGGGGGAATAGCCAGCATGTGGGCTCAGGAGGGTCTCTGCTGGGATCATTAAGACACACATGAACATCTCAAAATGACTAAATTCCTCATGGACCCTTAAAGCTAAACACAATTTTAATGAGCGCGATTGGAAAAAATTCCATCTTCAGGTGGTGGTTCACGTGTTGTTCGTTTAATCTGTAGAGAAACAGAAGTATTTGTGGGTTTTATGAGGGGTTTATGTGCAGGACTTTTTCTTGGCCGGGCACAGTCGCTTCCTGGCAACCGCCATCGTCTCCAGGCCAAGAAGAATTCCCTCGCTTAAACCCCTTGAAAGGCCCAATTCATCATTTTTTATAAGATAACCATCCGCTGGCCGTAGCAAAATTTTTTCCAAAAGGACCTGAGTTTATTGTCATGTTTTTTTCATCCAAATCTTATAAAAAAAAGTTAGGCCTATTTCCAAATAATTAAACTGAAATATGTCCCCTATATCTGTATTGAGCAACAGGAGAGTCAACGAGAAAGAGGGCCGATGATGTGCAAAGGCTGCCAGATAGAAGTAAACTCAGGTTTACATTTACTTTGATATTCAAGCTACAAAGTGTGGAGGAAGCCACTTTGCAGTGAATTAAGTGAATTGTCTGGTGTACGTTATTTGCGTTTATCATGTTTTAAAGCTAGATGGGTAGAAGGAAACGGCAACTTCTCTATGAAATCAGCCCGCTGAGAAAAATTATGTAATTCCATTAGAAAATACCACAAGGGACCTTTAATCAACACAGAAAGCATCATCCTGCCATTGCCTGCATAATCCAAACATAGTCATTTAAAGCTTGACCAACATCCTCCAACACAACATGCGGTTGTTGTTTTCAAAACTCTTATAAGAATAATTGTCAATCTCATCCTTTTCAAGAATTGAACTGAGAAGTGCTGTTGCTGTCTGCGTGAGGCAGTGCTCTTCAAGGGGCTGGTAGATCTGGGGCTGAAATCGGACGTGTTTGTGTGTGGGGGTGTGTGAGCTCCCTTTATGTTAGGGGAGAGGGGCCTTTATGCTCTTAACCAGGGAGGTGGGACCAACAGATTAAGCCTTTGGTGCAACTGGTCACCATGAGGGCACATTGATGTGTATGCGTGTGTGTGTGGAGGGTTAACGATTCCCTTTGCCATCGCTAACCATTTTCAGCAAATTTTGTTGCAAATGTAAGTTATTACTAATCCCTACAATTTAGGAATTATTTCCTCCTTTTACTTTTGGTCAATATCCATCGCAAAAAAACTGTCTTCGCTTTGACAATTCCTGCAGCTCGTAGCCATGAGATGGGATATGAGAACCCTAATATGATTCAGATATACCAGATATTTTACCAGACGAGTCTGCTGCACGCTGTGTTTGTGAACAAAAAAGCTGTCTGCCTAAAAAAAAAGTGTACACGTGTGCCTGAATTATAACACACAGAGTACACAACTGCTGCATTGTTTCTGTCCTTGTTAGTATATAGTGTATGGTGTTATATGCATGCACAGTATATGTGGTGGAATAAGTGTGTAAGTTCTAACAAAAGAAAACGATACAGAGAAACCGAACGAAAGAGTGACTTAAAAAAAAAATCCAAAGTTCCAGTAAACGTGACATGTTAATTTAATAGTCCAGTAGGTCCGTAGGTTATATCCTAGATACCTACCTAGATAAATTAATAAAGAATATATTTTACACAGACCAGTTTCACTTGTCACATGAAATGTCATTCATGAGTAAGAGATGTGATCAACTGAGAGGCCTGACAGTCAATTTGTTTTTTTTCTTTTCAGTTGGAACAGGTAATCGTGAATTTGACATAGAAGGACCTTGTCATCACATACATAATTCTAACAGAGAAAAAAACTACAGGGGTGTTATACTTTCACTACCCCTTTCACTCAGTGATTGCTCTAAATACTTTTCCAGTCCGGCCATGCTCTTACTCTCCTACTTGCGATCTCTACTATTTCCTTTCCTTCCTGGTATAATTAGGCTGAAATCAACAGATATTACTCTCCCTCCAATGCAGCCATTACGCTCAGCCTCCATGCTCAGCCTCCAATGTAATGTGTTTCTTCTGGCGCTCCCCTGCCTGTAAATATGCACATGTTTGACTGCAGGGTCAGCGAGGAAGACAGGAACTGGGCAGAAATGCCTACTTCCTGGAGATGGAGATGGTTGCAGCAGGAGGGCTCGACCAATCATGTGCCAGCACAGATACATTCTCCGATGCACGTTGTCACACATCAGAGATGAATAATAAAGCGTAGAGGTGAGTGGGGGTGCTCACAGGAAGTGGATGATTCCACTCGTAGAGGTGCGAGGCCTGTGATACAGTTGTTAATATCCTGCAGAAAGGAAAGAGTTGTACGCCTTACTGAACTCCAGCGAGCAGGTGGCGACAGGACTACCGAGTAACGCCAGACAAAATGCTGCCAGAAGTAATAACATTTGAGTGGAGCAATAAAAAAATATGCATCGAAAAGAGTCACTGGAATACATAATGTAATGTTTAACAACGTGGAGCCCGTGAGGTCAGCCGAAGAACTACATCGCCCTCTTGTGTTATGAAGTGGAACAACTCCATCACCTTAAACAGCCTCAGCGTACTGTGATCAGAGAGACTGATATAAGACTAAATGAACTGCAGGCAAAAACAGAGGACATGAGTTTGGGTTGAGTTTTCATTGTTTCGACATTAGACTAATAAAAAGAAAAACACATGTCTCCATTTAAAAACATGTCTATTAGTGTCCGCATAATTGTCCCTCATGTGCAAAGGGTGCCAATTCTAATGCCTGGACTATGAAAGAGCTGATAGCGACACCCTTTAAAGTTAATCCACGGACATACAGTAAATCCCTCCATCCATCCGACATCTACTTGATCTACAATGATCTTAAACTTGCTTCACAGAATCGCACAATTATTTTTTTTCAGGTGTCTTTAATTATTTTTTACTCTGTGAAACGATTTTATAATCTTTGCTGTTACTGTGCTGTTTAGTGCCCGACACTGACTACTGTCACCGGGATGGAGGTCAGTGGACCAGGGACAAACAATAGGTGGTGCTGATGTGCCATAAAACCCTGTTTGAAATCTAATAACATCTAACATCATCAAGTTGATTAACCTGCAATAAACAAACCTGGATTCCTGTTACACCAGAGGAGGGCAGCATTTGTTCTCGTCAGATCTGTTCCATAATCAAAGAAGTCAAATTCCTTGTATATAAAGAGGTGAATCTCATTTTGATATAAATCAACATGTTTGTATTTATACAAATGTATTCATGAGATGCAGATGCATATATTTAGAGGTAACAGTGAGCAATCAGTTGCAAAGCAATCTTATTTTTAATCAGCAACCATTAAGTTAATGTAATTGTAATCAGTATTGACAACACTTATAAACACTGTCTATCAACCAGCAGTTTCACACTCTTCTCTCAGTATATTCAATGCAGGTTATGCACAAAAAATTGGGTCATAAATATGGAAGATAATCAAAAAAAACGGATTGGATTGCGATAAAAGCACAACGGAAAAACAGAAATAAATGGACGACTGTGTCCTCAGTCAATTTTGAGACTTTTTGTTGAAAAATGGCACAGGAAAGGTGATAATTCTGGTTGCTCTGCATAATTAAGAATAAATACAACACACATGCATTGAACTCCCACAATCACATTCTCAGTCGTGATTAAAGGAGGAGGTCATGTCTCCCGTTATCGTGCACCAGTAGCATGTGTGTTCTGACTTCGAACATCTCCCTCGGAGTCAGGTGCCCGTGAGACAGTTTCGAGGCAACGAGGCCGCTCTGGAAGGGCTGTCAGCGGATATGGATGCTTCCAGAGCCCATTAAAGAGGCAAGCCAGACTTCGGGGGAGACAGAGCCGGAGATAGAAAAGCAACATCATAAAGGAATTTCATCCATCATGTTCCTGTATGACGTTAATATATTTCACACACCTCTGACAATGCAACATTGCAAACCCTGGAGTGAGACATCTTTCTATCACAGGGTTGCAACGCAAGCAAACAGAGACACTCTTGTTTGTGTCCCTGTGTAACTTACGCATTTGTTTGAAGAAGAGGGGGAAGGTTTATGGATGTACCTCTCCTGCCTTGTTCCTATTATGAAACATTGACTGATATTGCTGCAAGTGTGTGTGCTTTTCCCCAACAGAGTAGCATCAGTAGTGCGCCACAAAGGCAGAGCTTTCAGCATACAAACCACTTCAGGCTTTTGTACCAAATCCGGAATTTGGAACGCCACTGCGGGATGTTTACAATGAAATGATTCATGACGTGCAATATCAAGTTGAAGCAGAAATATTAAGGTGAAAACTCTGTATTCAGCACATGGTGGATTCAAATGTGAGTCCTTGCTGTAGGATGCCCTGTCTCTTCAATGAGATCTATGGGATGAGGCAGAAATGTTGTCAAAATAAAAAATACAATCAGTGAAAATCGCTTGATTCCCAGAGGACAGATTCACTTCTGGGTGACTTTGCAGCTCCGCATTGTCGTAAGGGTTCTGCGTCTTGCTCGAGGACACATCAGCAGTATGAACTTGAACTGCATGATGAGAGAATGTTTTGCTGTTTACTCGGCCAGCCTGCTCTGCAGTACCATAGAACAATATAGATAATAAGCACATTAAAGGCTGCGTTGCTTCTTGCGGTGGTATTTTCAGCTTCTTACCCTTCTACTCTTCTGGTAATTCTTCTGCAATTCAAGCCTTTTTTCACTCTCGTGCCAAACATGAAGTCTCCTTCTCAACCTTTTCTCTCTGTCTCTCCTTACCTGGATCATAACCAGTCGGACCTGGATAACAATTAGATAAAACTCTAAATGAAGCTGTTGTGGATGGTGTTTCAATTGTGCACTGATCCATTATCTTCAATGACAATGATTCTCCGTGAAATCCATCCTTTTCTTTTTTGCGGAAAAAAACTACCCATTTTCAAACGCATCTTGAGCGTCAGCGTCTCGTTAAAAGATTGTTTTGACACAAATTAATTGAATGTCTGTTGCCTGGGCTGATCCTCTGCGGTTTGCGCTTTGTAGTGAACTGCCCCCGCACACACACACACACACACACACACTATATTTCCTAAGATTCATGCTGCGGCACAGCGCTGACTGGC